TCATCATGCCAAATTCCCCAGTTCTGCAACCCAACTAGGAATATATCCATCTGAGTGAAACGGAAAAAAATCAAGAATCGGTCAACGTTTTCTAAACGAACTTCCCCGCTCCCTCAACGGCCAAATGCCACCTCTCGTGTTTACAACGACGACATGCACAAGGTGAACCCCAGCTCCTTCTAGGAACACTGCTGCTTGAGGACAATCTTAATCATTTTTTTGTCCAACACTAGACAAGATTAAAGCTGTCTCAAATAGAAATACCCCACAAAAACGCATCGCCATTCTCAAATTAGGTACGCGGCCACGCCCTGCCCCCTCCTGGGTTATAGAGTGTAAAGAATGAGAATTATGGAAAAAGCCAGCACCGCATCTATTATATTCATCTATTACAACATACCGATTCCGTAATCTTGCTGATCACCGACTCGTTCAATCCATACAGCGTTTCCCCTTGAATTCCTTTTGCCACGAACCGTAAAGCATCCACTTGCGACCGTATTCGCTCCACAGCACTCGTTACTTGTGACCAAGCCTCTGAAAACCATTCACATTCTACTTTGATTCCTCAGATGTAGGATAGGAGCCTAACGCAAAACAGTCAACAGAAAAAAATACAGAAACTATGAAACATATGAGCATACCAGTAGCAGTATCTCCTTCATAGGTGTGACCCTCATGGGAAACGACAAACTTTGGACGATGATCAACATCCTTGATTTGACAATTGTAGAGCTCGCGCTTTCGTGGATCAGTGGGTGACCAAAACCATCGTGAGGAATGGTATCCATTCTGCAAGTGAACCATAAAAACTGAAAATAGTCACGGAAACACATTTAAAAACTTACTGGGAATATATGGGTTGCATTGTGGAATGTTTTCAGTTGTTCCGGAAGAAGCTGCCCAACTTGGAAGAAACACAAGGCACCGATTCGCAGACAGAGTCGCGCGCATGAGTCCGAATAATCGAATAGTCGCGACAAGAAGGCGTTCTCATCCCTTTCAATGTATATCCGTCGAAGTGCTTCTAACGAAGTTACCATAACTTCAGGGCTGATTTCAGGATGTTTCGTGCAGAAGAAGGTCTGGAAAGACTATAACCAGAATAACGGAAACGGGATCAACGAAAAGCCATTATGATCAGGGTCCAGTGTAAAAGTATTTTTTTGTGGCACATGATTAGTCTGCCCCTTATAAATATTCTCAAAAACAGCCGGAAAAGTTATACTGTTAAAATCTAATGATACGAAGTTAAGACCTTCACGCTTACTGAATGCGGCAAACTCATGGTTTGGAAGGATGCGCAGTTTAAGGCAATCCGCGGTTCCACAGATTCGAAGACAGGATGAGAAGTGGGACCCTCCCCACCTACTCCCACAAGTCCACGAGTCTGTCACTCTCTTAATCGCGGATTTCCCGGCAACGCTAATAAGGAAATGTCAGTCGATTCCCATCTACTCCTTCGTCACCGGCATCGGGGATTCCTCAAATCTACAAAATATGAACGCAGCAGTTTTATTCATGCGGCCGAATTTTTGTAATTTTTTTCAGTTTCTTTCACGAAAATCCCTCACACTGGACCCTGACCACAAAGATCATGTTAAAATCAAGGGAGTTACAAATATGACCGTATACACGATATGACCGTCTACACGAGAATATTTATGAAGTCAATATACAC